CTCCTCTGTAAGACACCATACTTCCATCTCAGCCCATCCACACCCTTATTTGTACTCCTTCTTAACCTTCCCCCATGCCCCTCCCAATGTATATCATAAGCATCTTCGAGGATGTGACCATGAATTAGTCTTTTTAAAAAAATGTCATGGGAAGCATGCCCACGTGTTGATGGAGAGGGTAAGGTTGCACCTCTGTGGGTTGGCGTGGATCCCTCCTGGAAGGGTGTGAGCTTTGTCAGTGTCCTCATCCCAGGGTAGGCCATGGAGACCTGGAAGGGGAGCTGTGGACAAGAGGGAAGAGGAAAACATTCTTTTCTAGGGTTTCCCGTCCTGGGCCCGGATTCTGCAGAAGTTCAAGAGACACCCCCTCTCCCCAGCCCAGGTGGAAGGGGGAGGATGACCTGTGGTAGGGAGGCGAGTCTGGGGCCCGGAGGGGCCCACAGAGTGTGGGTGGGGGCTGCAGGCTCTGAGAGAGCTGTACGTAAGGGGCCACACCAGTTCATTGCTGCTGCTTCTCTACAACACCTTGTATGGTTCAGCCACTCCTTTCCATGTGGAGATTTTCTCTCTGCTGCCAACCCTGGTGGCTTTGGACATTTGTTTGTATGTTTATTTTGTGGGAGCTGATGAGTTTCTGGTTATTTAATGAATTAATGACCCAGGTCTGGAACATGGGCTTGAAACTACCTTGGACAAGTAAATTTACGTTCTTGCAACTGCAAATGGCAAGTCAGGTGGTACCTAACTTGGCGCCATTTCATCTGAAAAAGACCCAGGGGGCTTCTTCGTCAAGATCTTCATATGAGAATACAGGACCAGAGGCTACTAACGAGCTTACGCAATCGCAGCGGCACCAGTGGAGTCAGAGTGCCCAGACCATGGGTTCACAGCACTCAGGGATGGGCAACAGCCCCCAAGCACGGGATGGGGTTTTTCCCTTTTTTGGCTCACTGCCTAATCTATAGATTCACTAGTACACAATTATTCTCACAATGTAAAACACAGTCAGAGTGGCTCTTCGTGTGTGTTTGTGTATGTATATTTCTCCTTCAGCTTTAACTTACAAGGCTGCTTGTTATTCACTTTCTATCAGAAGAACAGTGTATTGATTTCTCATGAGAAATACACCAGCATGATGGAACCCATTCTTCTAGGTCATTTCTGACCAGGAAGATTAGCACTTACTAGGGTGCTTGCCAGTGATAGGTGCTCAGCAACTGAAGAAATAGGGAGTCTTTGGTTTCCTTTACTTTCAAAGAATTATTATTTCTCTTCTGGGTGTCAAAGAATTATTATTTCTCTTCTGGGTGTCCTTTTCTAACTGTCTCCTTGGTTCTACTGCCTTTCCCGAGTGCTCTCTGCAGCTCACTGTTGGCTCCAGTACTGCGTTGGTCCTTCCTGTATCCTTGACTAATTTCTTTATCTTCCCCTTCTGGCCTGTCACTCTGATCATTATTGTCAGGCACTTAGCATGCGACCCATTTATTGCACATCACTGGAGGAGAAACAATGACAATCCATCTTGAGTTATGACAGTGTTTGCTGAAGGCAAATTGCAGTGAGTTTAAAGAAGTGCAGCCAGGATGATAAGGAAACAGTGGAATCGTCTTACTTAGCTCTGTCGACTGGGCAGTGGGAGCCTGTGAGTCAGGTGGCAGATGTCACGAACAGAAAACAGCTACCAGGATAAGCTCTGGGATCTGGACTCAGCCAGAATGTGATTCGACTAAGGGAGGGCTTAGGCTGTGTGTCAGAAAGTATTTCTTGGCGCTGGTATGAAGAACAGCTGGAATTTAAAACCTGTAAGCTGTATTTAGCACCAAACTGCTAACTGTGCTAACCTGAACAGAGCCTGTAAGTGGTCTTCCGTGGTTCATTAATGTCAGGGGTGTGGGAGCTGGGCACCCCCTTCCCTTTAGCCTTGTCCTTGACAACTCCCCACTAAACGCATCCTGTTCCTCAGCCATACCTCACTGTTGAGGCCCTAAGCTCAATTCTCTGCTCTCTGTCCCAAACCTTCACTCCCTCTGTGGGGAAGCTCTTTCTACCCCCTTTTTTGGCCTGTTCTTACTACATAGTATCCCCAACCCCACCTCTAGGAAGGCCCCACGGCCTGGGGCCCCACTCGGCTCCTGAGACCCTTCCCTGTTTGAAAGCCAGTAACCTGCCGTGCAAGCCTCTTAGGAAGTACGTGAGTCCTCCACGATCTGTGTGGCCGACCTGCCTCCCTCTTTAACTTCATCACCAACTGTGCCCCCATCCTTTTCTCAGAACAGCCCAGCAGACTTTCTGTGCATCCACTCAGGGATGCTGCAGAGATTAGACAGGCTGTGGGCTCTTGATAACCCTGCCTCACTCTCTAATCGGCTACCCTCTTTGTGTGCATCTGCAGAAGAGTGCTGCCTTTTAAAGGAAGCTCAGGAAGTATCTCCTCCCAGAAGCTCTCTGTGCACTCGCCACCCCTCCCCTGTGCTGTGGTAGTACCCTGTGCTCACTCTGGCTTTCCACCTACTGCTTTATGTTTCAATGGGCTGTCCCTGAACCAGTCTCAGACCCTTGCTGCAACTGTGCTCACTCATCTTTGTACCCCAGAGCCCTACACCTCGTAGGTGCTCAGAAGGTGTTTGCTGAATGAACGTGTGGAGCATGCGTGATTGAAGTACGTGAGAAAGGCAGGGGCTGGCACAATTCCTTAGTAGCTGTGTTAAAGAGAGGACAGACACAACTCACAGGGCATGACCCAGGAATATGGAAAGGATTTTTTTTTTTCTCTTCTTGTGAAGCCTCTTGCCCACATGGAAGAGATGTTGTCTTCGTGAGAACGGTGGGCGCTTCGCTGAGCTGGTAGAAGTGGCTAGGAGTTGGTTACAGTGGTGAGCGCAGGATTAACCTTTTGACAGATGGATCTGCTCTTTCAAAAAATTTATTATGAAATAATTTGAACATATAAAAAGTTACAGAGACTAAAATAGTGAACATCCATGTAGCTGCTGCCTAGATTAAGAAATAAAACATTACTAACTCAGCTGAAACCTTTTAACTGTTATCCTGATTTGGTGTTTATCATTCTCATCTAATCTTTCATGCTTTCACATGATATGTGTATGTATAGTACATACTCATTTTATATATATTTTTGCAAACTATTGATTTATATAGTTATTCTTTTGAACTTTTTTTTCAGCGTTGTATGTGTGGGATTCATCTACAGCATCCATTTGGATTGATACATGTAGTGCTGGTTAATTTTTATTGCTGTATAGTATTCCAGTTTATGTATCTTATTATTGGATATTTGAGTTGCTTCCGTTTTTTTCCTTTCACAGTGCCACCGTGAGCACTCTTGTTATATAGCCTGGTGCACACATGTGAGGGTTTCTTAAAGATGATTAATAGCAGTGGAATTTCTGGGTCACTGGAAGTGTTTATCTTCAACTTTATAAGTTCTGCAAAAGTTTATTCTCTGAAGCTTATTTACTCCATTCTTGACAAAAATGAATCTTTATAATTCCTTGTGGTATGTCAGTTTATGTAATATTTCAGATGTTGTAGATCCAAGATAACATTTCCTTTGATACATATGACACCCATTTAAGCCTTATCCATGTGTCCAGTGTATAAAGCCCAGAAGCCAATTTAAAATGGAGACAGGTATGTGGAAGATTCATATTTATATAAACTCCTAAGGAAAAGGAATTAGGTCATATTCAGTGGGCTGTTCAGCATTTCCTTTCACATTTTTTATTGAGTTTTAGCCAAAGAGCATTTGGGGTTATTTTTAGCATCTAGATAGCTCACTGTGGAGCTATGTGTTGGATGAATATTTGAGTGAGTTGAGTAAATGAATGGAATCCTAGAACTGAACATAAGAACAATAAAAAATAATGGAATAAAATTAAAACCAAATTAGTGTCCCTGAGCTGAGATGTTGGGAAAAAAAAAAAAGATAGATTTGTTATAGATTTGTTATATATTCGCATAGATTTGTTATAAACCTAGCTGGAGGCTACAGTTTGTGTGCTGTCTCTCTCCTGCCACCTCCTTTCCTGGTGGCTGGGTGCTGACGCAGTGGCTGTTTCTGTTTCTTTATTACAAGCTCAGCACCTGGGAGGCCTAATGAGCTTCTCCAGAGTGTGGCCTGAGCCGCCACCTCTGTTGGCAAGTGCTCTGGTGGTCTTCCCCAGCCAGGTGGGCAGGACATACTCACACTGTTGTAAGAAGCTGGCTGCCTTGAGGCGAGTCTCTAGTGGGCTGGCAGATACTGCCCGTGTGTTGTTGCAGATGGGCTTCTGTGCAGCACTTCTTGCCAAAGCCCCGCTGCTGTGGAATTGTTGTGGCTGGTTTCCTGGAGATAACACTTAATCCTGCCTACGTGCCTGGTGAGATAGGGTAGGGATTATGGACTTATTTATTTGCAAACCCTTGTGAACTTGTGGGACATATGCAGTCACTATTGAGTGTCACCTTAAAGGGCCACCCAGAACATTCTCGAGGTAGTGTGGTAGTGAGCTAGGGCTGCGTAACAAAGTACGGCGTACTGTGGCTTAAGCAACAGAAACTTACTGTCTCATGGTAAAGAGTTTAGAAGTGCAAGGTCAAGGTGTGGGCTGGCCAAGTTGGTTCCTCCTGAGGGCCGTGAGGGAAGGCTCTGTTCCAGAAGACACATCTTCTCCACGTGTCTCCGCATCATCTTCCCTCTGTGCATGTCTGTTTCTGTGTCCAGTTTCCCCTTTTTATAAGGACACCAGTCACACTGGAGTAGGGCTTGCCCTAGTGACCTCACTTTAACTGCATGTCCTCTGGAAGAAAGCCTGATTCCAAATCAGGTTACATTTCTGAGGTGGTGAGGGAGGGTCAGGACTTCAACATAAGAATTTTGGGGGACACAATTCGGCTCCTAACAGGTAGCAGCACAGTGTGGGATCATGTGGGGTTGTTAGGAAGCTACTTGTAAACATTAGATTTCCAGCTACTAGGAAGGTTAGTGTTCTAGACATTTTGTTTTCACACATTTGTAGTCATTCTTTTTGACAGATGCAGGAGCAGATTCACAGTTTGGTACCATGGACTTGGTCTAGTACAGTCAGCTTATTTACTTGCTAACTTCTAGGAAAGAAGTTTTGAGATCACTTTAAAAAGAGAGAAGATTTTATCTCTAAAATTAAATATAAATTGATTTTTTTCCCCTAAGAGTTTATTGCCTGAAGGCTTGCCTTGTAGCCGTTGTTTTTTTCACTTGTTTTAAAGTTTATTTCAATCGTTGTTAAAAAAGAAATACCTGAAAACTTTTTTTTTTTTTGTTCTAGACTTAAAAGGAATTGTGTTTGTCATCCAGAGTCAAAGTAATTCTTTTCATGCAAAGAGAGCAGAACAATTAAAAAAAAACATCTTAAAGCAGGCAGCAAACCTTACACAGGTACGTAGAGGTGGTTTGGGGTATCCGCTAATTGTGTGTTTCTTGATACATTTATGTTTTCAAAGCACTTAATCTGTAGAGAATCAGTTTTATTTAGATGAGAATAATTCTTCTGACTCATTTTGCTTATTTAATATTGACTATTTATTGTTGAAAATGCTTTGGTTAATTCCTAATGCTCAAAGCACCATATTCTAAATTATTGTATATGTATATTTTTTAATTTAAGGAAATTATATAATTATGTGGGATTATCGTGGCTTTGTCATGAGGTATTATAAAAAGAAGTGGAAGAAGTAACTTTTTAAAGGCAAGGTTTAAAATAGCAGAGATAATTAACATTCAAAATTTTGGTAACAAGTTCTAAGGCAATTTTCATGTTGAAATAACATTTTCATTAATCTTAGCGCAGTGCTTCCTCTAGGAGTCTCTTAATCTGTTTTTTTAATTGGATGTCATTAATTGAACTTTTGATTTGATTTATAATGTAATATCCCAGAAGGATTATGGAGAGAAAAATCTACGCATACAGGTACATTTTAATAATGTTTAAAATAGGCGTGAGCTGAATCTAAAGCTGCTTTGAATAATGCTGAAGGTTTGGGGTAAAGGAAGATCTACCTTCTCACACTGCCCTCTAGTTGCTTCCTCCTTCAGCCAAGTGAAATAAAAACCCCTTTGACAATGCCACAGCATGTTGCTCTGTAGATAAATTGCCCTCTCTCTGTTCTCAGAAAGAACTCTTTGACGAGAGACATGTGCGTTTGACAGATTGCTTTCTTTCCGTTGGTGGGTGCTGGAAAATAAAGGGTTGGAAATATTAAAGGGAACACAAGCAGGCTTCATGGTATTCAAGGCAAAGGACTTCTGAGAATAAGGTTTATTGTGCTTCATCTCCAAATGCTTTACATACAGACTTCATCAAACCCCCTGCATCCCTGCGAGGACAGGTTCTCTCGGTTGCCCTACTTGGA